ATGTTGATATTTTTGTTTTATGATTTTGAGAGATTCTTAGTTAGTGAGATATAAATCCAAAGATATATACATATTCACCTAAATGTAAAATCAGTCTGAAATGGGTTTCATTCCTGATTTTGTATACTGAAGGTGAAAGATATCAAAACCATTATTTCACGGGGACCATCTCCATTTGAGACCAATTTCTTATATTTTTGAGCAAGACCCATCATATATACACCCTCTATTTCTAGCCACTCTGATTAAAAAAAAAAAAAGTATGGGCCTGGAGAAATACTTTTGGGAAGCTTTTTCTATATAGAACTATCTAGTTTTCTTTCCTGAATATCAGAAAAGCTTACCAATGTCAGATGATAGCCCTTTCTTTCAATTTAAATCTCTGTATACTATGATATACAAATGATGCTTGGTATTTTTAAAATCTGTTTTGCGCTATAGGACTTCTTTTCTTTAAAAAGACGTGCACAAACAAGAAAAGTGACAAAATTAGCCCTAATATATCTAATTCTGTGAAACACAAAGATTGCAAAACTTTCTCAAGCCTCATCTAAATTCAGTCTTGTCTTCCATCATATGATACTGATAATTACCCAAAACATCATTTTGTGCCACAAATAACTACTGTTGGAACCTGGTTCTTGCTCTATTATTCATACAGACACCATGTTTCAGAGCATGAGCAAATCAAAGAAAAAAAAGTACAAATAAACAAATAATGCACACATACAGAGGTGTACAGACATGCATGAACTCATGGGGTTATTTCAGCAAGAAAGAGAAGGTGGTTCATGGAAGCACATGGAAATTAGCACCCGGCAACCTAGGAGCTTTCAAGTTTTTATAGATTGTTGCCTTGTTAGTAATAGTTTGCTCCATGCTCTGACAGGCTACATACATTTTCAGTATATGCTATGCCCCTTTACCTGCCAGCTTTAGAAATAATTATCATAAATCATAATACAAACAGAGGTATGTAATATACCTGTTTTAGAATAATTACCAAAACTCATGACTTTAAGTAACTTTAAGTAAAGCAACCCCTAAAATCTTATTAAGGTTAAGAAGCTTCTCAGCATCCTTTGAAGATTAAAAGTTGCTAGATATCTAGATGGCATGAGTTTTTTTTAATTTACACACTTCTAAGACTTGCAAATGTATTCTGGTTTACATAATTGTGAACTCATAATACTTCAAAAATCATATACGATATAATCATATACACACCAAATATGTACAATGTAGATCATATCAATATTATAAGACATATTGTTAAAAATCCATTTCAAACATAACCCAAAATATTGATTTCAAAGGTTAAATATATGGGCAATAAATCGCCGTCAAACATCACCAGTTAGGTCTAGCAAGCCTAGCGGCTATTTCTGGAGGGTGTAACTTTACAGGAATGTTTATGTTGTTGATTTTGGCCATTTTTCATGGAGATGGTCCCCTTAACCCTCAAAATAAAGTCTATATACAATGCACCACATTTTGAGAGAAAAATAGAAATAATTTTAATCATATGAAAATAGTTAGTGATCATGTTAAGGCTTCCTTGTTCAACATAGTAGGAACTCCCTCAAAGAAGTCAGCAACTGGCAGTTCAACCAGACATAATACAAGTATAAAGAGATAAAGCAAATGTAAAAGGAAGCATAATCAAAATGCTTTTAAAACTGTTTTTTTTTTTTGCATATCTATTTTTTTTATTCCATATTTATTGCATAAAGATTCTCTATAAAAATGTACACAGAATAACCTATATGTATCATAGTATATGTTACTTCACACGTTCAAAGGAAGTCAGCCCTGTTATCCTATAGCTAGCAGTTTTGTATGACATAAGCATACTCCGCCTACTATGTGAAACGGCTTTGTACAGCTCGGAAACGACCGGGGGAAGAGGGGCGATTCCGGCCATCTGAGCAAGCTGATCATTATAGGGCCATTGTATGCTACCCATTTTGTGGAAATGTTTGGACGGCTGGCCAAAGTTGCAGTGGCCCTCAAAATCTTTCTGGACAAACTCATCCATCTCCTCTTTGCTGGGTAAGGCATATGCCCCCGTTACTGTTTTTAAAAAGAACTGGACCTACAAAGAGAAGAAAGATATGTAGCTATTTATCTTCTTTTTCAACTGGATTGAGAAAGGTTAGTTTTGAAATATACATTACTTAATAAAAGGTGTTAAGTTTACAATACATATTGGTTAATAAAAGCAAATAATAAATAATAGCAAAAGATCTGTCAAGCATCCATAGAATCCACAAAAAACTTATGAATGTCATTTCATAAATAACACAAGATGAAAAAAAGGCTTTTTCTGATAATTTCCTTAAACTTACATGAATTCATGAGATAGAAAGCAAAAAATGGCTGGATGGATGGATAGATGAAAGGGTTAATGGGTGGTTTGATGGGAAGATAAAAGGATGGCTGGATGGGAGGAAGAAAGGAAGGAAGGAAGGAAGGAAGGAAGGAAGGAAGGAAGGAAGGAAGGAAGGAAGGAAGGAAGGAAGGAAGGAAGGAAGGAAGGAAGGATGGATGGAAAGAAGGAAGGAATGAAAGATGGAAAAGCAAATAATTAGATCCAAACTGATTCAAATTTGTTCCCATTCAGTGTCTATATATGGAATCAATTTTGATAATGCTGATAATAAATAATTTTCTACATCTTATGAATATCCCATTCGAAAAAAAAAAATAAATAAATAAAAAATAAAAAATAAAAAATAAAGCTGAACAGTGACCTATTTTTCATGTCAAAGATAAAACCATTTCTTTGATATGATATGAAAAATAATGACAAGACAACTCCATCAGAATGAATGAGGCAAAAAAATTATATTTTGTCTAAAAACATTGTATCTTAGTTTTGTACATTTTGAAAATGTGTCTCTTTCAGCAGCAAAATAAAGATGGTTTTATGTGTTCTTTCAGGGGCAATTTAACTTTCAAGTTAAGAGCAAATGCTTCACAGAATCATCATAAAGTTACTTTGTCTTTCTCATTATTCTTAATATTTAGATTATGATCTTCCAGCAATTTATAAATATAAATAAAAAAAACAATACGTACTTCCTAATTTATTTCTAATCAATCTGAATAATTTTACCAAATGTCTTCTCCTAAAATGTACTTACATATGCCCTACATTCTTTTCTTTGCTTGTATCAGAGAATATGGTTAGTATGCCATGATTTAGTAGTATCTTTTCAGAGTTTGAATATATACAGCAAATGCATAATGTATCTATTTGTAATGTGTTTATATTGAAATCTGTGTTACCTGTGTGGGCAGACAAGACAAATAAGTAACCAACACCTAGAAGATATGTACAAGCATAACTGCAACCAACACCATGGATATACTTTTTTCACAAGCAAGAATGCACACAAAACAATAGGACAACATGAATAGCCCCTTAGTAGCACGATTCATGAAAGATTTCACCAATCGTAATCAAGGAAAGTAATGCATCTATTACTCAATAACTGCACTGCAAAAGGATTAGGTTTACTTTCCTCTTAATCCCTATCTATTATACTTATATAAAATGCACTAAAGGAACTTCAAGAAAGTTTTCTCAAGTAGCCTGCTTCTCAAATTTCTTGCATCTTCTGAATTCTGAACCTTTTATTTAAAGAAACTTAGTACTTTTAATCCTATCTGAGACTATACTCGCCTGTACTACTTCTCAAATTCATTAAAACGTACGTACATGCCATATCATGCCAATTCCCGCACTATGTTGAGATGGTAAAGATTTTATGGCTCCTAACCTTCCAAAATAAAAGCTTTTAGGTGCTCGCTCGCAAACTTCCGATCGATTAAATTGTATACGTAAACTTGCCAAAATTTTTACCCTAAAATTGTGCTGCTATGCTGAAGAAGCAGTCACATCTCATAACTTAATCTATAAAAAAAAAAAAAAAAAATCTTTGTGGTTTATACTGAGATATGAGTTTCTTTCCTTTTTAACGGAATGATAACCATGCTAAGCTTCTTTGCAAAAAGGAGATAAAATCCCTCCCGCCCCTTTATTAAGCATTGGACTTTGGACAGAGAGACCACTCGAAAAATACCAAAGATATTTCTAATTCAAAATATCATTAAAACCTTTAAATCTGATATGAGAAAACAGCATATATTTGTCTCTCATACCCCTGCCTCTCATTCTTTGCAGGTAACTAAAAAAGGCTTTTCCTAATAAATTGCTACAAATGATTGTATCAAAAGAAGTTTACAAATGAATGACATAAACAAAGAAAAAAATACAGAAATTATAGATTTCAATGGATTGGAGTCAAAAGGATTGAAACTCAATCCCTGTCCCACCCCCAAACAAAAGAAAAAAAGGGGGAAATATAGCAGTAATAATTATAATTAAAATAAAAAAATAATAATAATAATAACAATAATAATAATAATAACATCTATAATAATAATAACAATAATAAAATTGCTAATAATAACAATAAAAACAATAACAACAATAACAATAAAAACAAAAACAATAATAATAATAATAATAATAATGATAACGATAATAATAGTAATAGTAATAATAATAATAATAATAATAATCATAATAATAATAATCATCATCATCATTATTTATTATAATAATAATAAGAAAGACAATGACAATTATAACAATAATGATAATAATAACAATAATAAAAATAATCATAATAATAACAATATAATAATAATAACAATAATAATAATAACAAAAAACAATAATAATAATAATAATAATAATAATAACGGTAATAATAAAAAATAATAATAATAATAAAAATAATAATAATAATAATAATAATATTGATAATAATAATAACAATAATAATGAAAATAATAACAATAATAATAAAATAATAATAACAATAATAATAATGATAATAACAATGATAATAATAATAATAACAATGATAATAATAATAATAATATTAAAAGCAATAATAATCATTATAATAATAAAAACAATAATAAGAACAAGAACAACAATAATAATTACAATACGAACTACAACTACAATAATAATTACAATAATAACAACAATAATAATAATAATAATAACAATGATAATGTTTATCAAAATTATGATCATTATTTACATCATTACAGTAACAACAATAAAAACAACAGCAATATTAATAATAATAATAATAATAATAATAATAATAATAATAATAATAATAATAATAATAATAATAATAATAAATAATAATAATAATAATAATAATAATAATAATAATAATAATAATAATAATATAATAATATAATAATAATAATAATAATAATAATAATAATAATAATAATAATAATAATAATAATAATAATAATAATAATAATAATAATAATAATAATAATAATAATAATAATAATAATATTAATAATCAACAATAATAATGACGATCATCATCATCATCATCAATTTCATCATAACAATAATAATAATAATAGTAATGATAATAACAATAACAAAAATACCTGTAATAATAACAATGACAATAGTAATAATAATCATCATCATAATAATAACTATAATACCAATAACAATAATAATAATAACAAGCATTAATCCTCCCCTTATACCTTACATGACTCCGAATTTATATTCAAAGGAACCCAAAGTAAAGAAGACTACAGAAAACGGATCTAACTTACCTGGAAGTCAAACAACGGGAAAGGGCATATCTGGAATGGTATGCCAATAAAAGCCAGAGACGGAAATGCGGAATGTATCAGATGTTTGTATAGCGGCTTCACAACGTTGTCCTCTATCGTGACGTTGCACTCTTTGGTAAGGAAGGGGAAAGTGTACTCGTAACCTGTAATAATAAGTACGTCTGAGTATAATTTGCCAGATTAGTAATTTTTTCACACTTAGTCTTCTTGCTTATTTTTTAAAAGCTTCTCCCCCTAGCTAACCCACTGGATCTGGGTGATATGACTGTTGTGCCACAAAAAAAACTTAGCTGAGGTCCGGGTGATAGGAATGCATGGTCATGAAAACGTTTGGCTGAGGCCAGGGTGACAAAAATGTACCATCATAAAAATCTGGCATAGGGTTGGGGTGATTGGAATAACATCAAAAATGCACAAAGATCTTGGAGGATAATTAGACAAAGTGGGCACATAGGAAGGGGCTCCTGCATGATTTCCACTGGTAAAAGAGGGTGAAATGTACCATCCATGAGTCATGGCTTAGGATTCTATTCCTAACTACTGTGACTGGCAACACAGACTATTGCAGAAAATTGAAAATTACAAAAATATACAAAATAATTACACAAATAACCCTATGTTCCTTATTACTACTTTACTATTCAGAGTTGTTGACTACCATTAGTGATAACATAGTCTGATCATGAAAAAATGTCTAGAACAATCTTGATACAACATAACAATTAACAAATATAGACCTCAGGAAATGGTAAAACAGTAAAAAAAACTTCCATGTAAAAAAAGACAATAATATTGCAAAGAGGAGGTAAGGAATCTTGACACTGCATATGACTGCTCATGTGGGCCAGGTGTCCTGTGCGAGTCACCACTCAAGTAAGCCTATTGCCCAGATTTTGGTCCATGAGGTAGGCTTACCTGGACAGCAGGTTAATTCACATTTCATAGGAATTCACAGTAAACAATTCATGATAACAATCCTACAACAAATGATCCTTCCATCCCTAAAAGCACTCCATACAACATTAAACATCAAACACTAATTCTCCAATTTATACATCAAGGCCCAACAAAGCCACAGATACCTCTTCATGGTATGAAACCAACCTTTTCACCCTCATTTCTTTCATAAAATCTAAAAAATACAATTATCTACACAATAAAACTACTTACCTGTGCAATACAAAATAACATCAGCCTCAGCAGAAGTTCCATCTCCAAATATAAACCCATTCTCAGAGGCTGCCACAACTCCACGAACCTGACGGACGTTGGACGGCAAGTCGGACGGCACTGGTACAGGCAAGTTATGTGACAGCAAAATCTGGGAATAGAAAAAAAAAAAGATTCGTAAACCCTACAATCCAGATGATGTGACTATCACGTCATGAAAAAATTTGGTTCTAGGGACTCGTGATGGAAAAAAGCCATCATGGGAAAATCTGGCTGTAGCTCCGAGTGACATGAACTTGCTGTCGTAAGCATTTCAAATGAAGGCTGGGGTGACAGGAAATAAACACAAACCTCTTTGTGGGTGATTAGACTCATTTGGCATTTAGAAAGGGGCTACTGTATCTATTTCATCAATAAATATGCGTCGAATGTAATGTCCATGAGCCATGACTAGAAGAGTACTTTTTCCAGGAAGGATGCCATTTCCATGCTCAGCGTCCTTTTCCTGGCCGCCATGACTGTTGTTGCAGGTTGTATTACAGAAAACTGAATATTACTTTTTTATATTAAACAAATAACAAAAATTTTACTTATTGTTATCATTCTTACTCAAGTTAAGGACTACCTAGAGATTTGATACAGAGTTTGTACAAGGAAAATAATCTATTACTATCTGGATAAAGCAAATCAAATGGTAAATATGGACTTCGGAAAAAGGAAAAAAACTAAAAACACTTCAGCATAAAAAGAGAAAATATCATTGCAAAGGGGAGACATAAGACCAGGCCCGACCCAATGAATATCTATTATACTGATGTGCATATACACAGTAACAAAAACATGCACATCTACCAGATATACGGGTAGGTAAATGTATATCTATCGGACAGAGAGATAGATATGCATTTATTTCTGTGTTTATGCATATCCGCAAATATAAATATCAATTGTGTTAGGCCTTGCACAATTTTAACAAACTGGCCATTAGAGTCTTGTACCAATAAGATCGTTTTAAGTACAAATCAAATATCCAGCACAAATAAGATGAATGTAAAAATCACGTACAATAAAAACAGAAATCAATTTAAAAACAGAACACTGTTTCTTGCATTCTTTCAGCTTCATATCCACAACATCAAATCATTGGGAATAAATCAAATGTATAATGCAAGACAAAATGTTTTTTGCCCTTGAACTCTAAACCAGTTTTAGTTATTTACCTCTTTGGCATATGGTGCAAGCTCAAGCATAATATCAAGACCTGATGCTGATGCACCCAGCACAACCACTCTGCTTCCTGCATATGGAGAGGGTTCTCGGTAATTGTGGCTGTGTATCTGGCGTCCTTTGAATTTCTCTATGTCCTTAATAACAGGGAATCGTGGGACTGAGTAGTGCCTGGAAGGGTATAAAGCTATTAATGATAAGTGTCAAAATGGTTAGATGGTCCTTCAAAAAAGCTCAGTATTAAGAAAGTCTATGGACTTTATGAGGGAAACGTTTCCTAAGGTGCTGGGATACAATGCTTTTACAGAACTTTGAATTTTTTTTTTTTTGAAAATTTTGAGGTGTAGTAGTTTATGAATAATTCATCAAGAAAAACAAAAACTATAAATCCAGATTAAGTAATAATATTCCTTAGATGACAATTACAGCATAATAAAAACATATCTCTATATCAAATCTAAAATTATTGCAATCTCAAAATAAAGCATTGCACATAGAAAAGATATCATGCTTTACCCATTGCAAACAAGGAGTGCGTCACAAACTGTAGTTGAGAATTCCCCGGAGTTCAGGTCTTTTACTTTAATGGACCAGGAAGGGGGGCCAGTGTCCTTGATAATAGGTTTTACTTCTTCTACATGGTGACTGAACTGTTAATAAATTTTGAGAGAAAGAGCTTTTATACTGTAAGCCATGATCAATTGCTTGTACGATTGACATATCTAGGATGGTATGGTTTGGCCATCTTAATCCACTGATGCCAGGATGGCAAAAATATGTCATATCAACTGTGGTTTTTACTCATCAATTGTCTTTACAAATGCTTAATCACCAACTTACCTTTCCTACCCCTCGCATCTGTTTACCCTTTTCCATGATTTTTGAAAAAATTCCTTTCTATCTTAAACTGCTATCAGTATTGTTATAACATTATGATAATCATAATGTTAATATTAATAGTAATAACACTGATATTGATAGCATTAAGAAGAAAAATCAAAGAAGTGGGAAATCAGATAAGGTTATGTAGGCATACTAACTGGCTCCTTGGTGGTTAAGCAAATGTGGAGCCATGTATGTGCACACGAAATTCACAGAAAAAACTACAGTCAACACTACTTGTACCTGGCAGCAATGGATTCGAAGGTAAAACTGCCTATGCATGTAACATACAAAAAGCATGTGATCTATGGTTAGCTAGCGTGGAGAAGCAATACACAAAGTATCAAATTTTCAGTCTGAGAGCAATGGATCCTTATTTCCATGTTGTTGTAATTTCTAAAGTTATAAAGGTAGATTAAAAAGGATACATTTATATATATCATGGAATTACATGTTTCATAATAACATAATTATGAAACCTAGATTCTATCTACTTTAAATAGCATTTGTACAAAAAATGATTAAAAATAATCACAAGGCCTGAGATAATATGATAACCATAAAAAATAAGGCCATATCAAACAAGATAAGACAATCGGTCAAGAACAGAGATAAAAGAAACCCGTGAGAAAAAAATCGCGAAAATAAATTCTTTATGTAATACAGCTTTTTCTGCATCTAGTACATTTTGGAATTTATAATGAATTCACACAGATTAGAATAAGTGCAACACCTAGTTTACAGTCTTCAATTGTTCCGTTAATAGTAATGCCAATAAAGAGGTGAATGTACTGAGATTATAGGTCTTAATTACCTCTGCCAAGGAAGTTATGTTTTTGGGAGCATTGGTTAGTTATCAGTTTGTTTGTTTATTGGTTAATTGGTTAGCAGGATAACTCAAAAAGTTATGAACAGATTTTTAATGAAAATTTTACCATAGGTGTGTCTTAGCCATTAGGATGCCATTAAACTTTGTTGGTGATCCAGATTATGATCCAGATCCTGTGCAGGATAATTCAAAAAG